CTATTGTCTTTCATCCTGACACAACATTTTCAGAGGCGGCCGGCTTTTGCATTTTTGTTTTGCCTTTTTCCCCTTTTTACCCCCAACCTTCCAATTAGTCCCCAAATCCACCTTCTAACTCTGCAAATGGGGGAGGGCAGAAGTGGAAAATGGCAGAAAAATCTTTAATGTTGCACAATGGAAGTCTGCACGCTGGGCCCCAATCGACTGCATCATAGTACTGTGCAACGATCTGAATTTTTCTAAAATAACCAAAAAAATGTGAATCAAACGGGGGCTTAGCTTTTCATGACAATGATATATATATATATATAGGCTTAGCTAGGAGATAAAAAATAACTTGGCTTCATTTTTCATTCATAAAAGTATTTTAAACAGTGGGTACAACTACTTAGGTTAATTATCTTTCGCTTACAAAATGATTCCTTTCAATCGACACCTGATCCAAGGGGATCTCTTATGTTTGTTGCGATTTTTGTCTCTTTATCTTCATGGATATAAATATAAAATGGCACATATGCTTGAACCTCACACTTGTTGGAATATTCCACTTGTTCAACAGCAAGACCATCAACTCACCTACAGCAGCAACACAGCAGAATCTGGGAAACAAAATGCTGCTGCCTTCAACTATAATTCCCGCCAGAATTCAACTCATTCTAGTTCCTTCTTATGTTTGTTATATTGTTAGTTTGTTAGATAATTTGTTAGCTATTTTCTCTATAAATAGAATATATTGCATTGTAATTTTCTCAAGTTGATTGAATGAAAAGTTCATCTACTTTCCTGCATCACAGCAGGCCTATCCTGTTTCTATCCTCCTTTTATTTTCAGTTTGTTTTCTACAGCTTTCCTTCCTTGATTTTATCATGGTATCAGAGCAGGTTTCTGATTCTTCCGTCTGCAATTCATCTTTTTCTATCTTTTCTAAATTGAATCTATCAAAGAAAAAAAAAAAAAATTCCAAAATTTCATCAGCAACTTAAAAAAAAAAATTCTCGAATCTTTTCTATAAATCATGTAGCTGAAGCCCTCACAGACCGTAGGTCTTCTAAATGACTCCTTGCCTTAGCATCAGCTTCCTTTATCTGATTAACAAGCTCCATACGAGGTCTCTCTCTCTCTCTCGATATCCTTCTCCTGAAGCTCTTTCTGTAAATTAAAAGCTTCAGTCACAATTGCAAGGGCGGGAAGTCGACCAAATTACTGAAAATTCATCTCCATCAATGACTGAAAATTCCTGATCAGATTGTTGATCGAAGGGAATCAAAACGAAATTGAAACCGGAATCAAGAGCTGCAAAGAGATGTTCTTCCTCTTCATCAGATTTATTTTTGAAATTGAAAGAACGAAACTGAAACGAAACGAAACTGAAACCGGAAATTGAAGATAGAACAGGCTTCTCAGATCTTCGGTTGATTTTATCTTTTGAATCAAGTGATGAAGATTTTGAA